ATGGGAAGGGGGGCGTTCTGGTCCGTCCTTCACGCCCTACCGAGGTCACCAGTTGCCCCCCGCGAGTGGCTCTCCAGCACAGCCACGGCCCCAGAAGCACAAGGACTTAATGCAGAACCCAGCAGCTTGGAGCAGAAAAGTGAACAGACTCTGCATTGATCCAGGCCATCAAGTCTGCCGGAGGGGAAAGGGTTTTGCCCCATTCGCCCTCTCCTCTCTGGAAAGAAAGATGGCGGCCACATGGGAGCCTTGTGGACAGCAGGTATGAGCCGGGAGTGTGGGGGCGACTAAAACCTCATGGGAAGGGGGGCGTTTCGGTCCGCCCTTCACGCCCTACCGAGGCCACCGGTTGCCCCCCGCGAGCGGCTCTCCAGCACGGCCAGGACTCCAGAACACAGAAACCAATTTCTTAACTATCTGACTTTCAGTAGAAATACTTCCAGGGTCAATAGGTAAAAGAGCAGAAATCCAAAACCAACATTTAATTCTTGAACCCAGCCGTAGAAAGCAAATCACTTCACAATGCTTTTTCAGCATGTCTGATTTGGGGGGGGGGGGGTAAACTCTAAATAATAGTGGTGAATCTTTTATTGAAACAATGAATCTAATCAAAGCAGATAGAGTGTTAACTAGAATTCATCTGCTTCACAGGGACGGGGAGGGGTGGGGGGTGGGGCTTTATTGGGGTTCTTCATGGTAAAAAATAAGTATTGGTAAAGGGAAATGTGTTTGATATTTGCATGACTGAGACATAAACCTGAAAGCTTTGTAACCTTTCCCACAGTGATTCAATAAATAAATTAAAAAAAAAAAAAAAAAGAAAATGAGGGCATAACACAAACTTCCAGAAGAAAAACGCAGGTATGCAAGACCAGGGACTGAAGACTCTAGGCCACATAGTGGCAGGGTTGGGCCATCCCTTCCCATCTCCTTGCCCCTTCGGGGTCCTGACTGTTATGCCCACCAACTGCCTCCAGGCACTATTTAAGCACATTAATGGCCTCGATCCAGAGACTCACAAATAAATATCAAAATGGATTAGCTTCCTACAGAGATGTCTCTGGACCCCAATCATTTACAATTTTAGAATTCCAGGAGTGCGTGGCTGCTTTTGTGGCCATGCAACCTCTCATGATATTCATAATAAGCAACAGAAAATAAATTATCTAGCTAGTACCTGCCTCTGGCTGGCAGGCTTGAATGATGGTGGGAAAATTCGAAATAATGGTGGTGGGATTGGTGTTGAAATATTGAATGTAATCAATTAACATGAACAACTCTTATTAAAATAAAATTTAAAAATAAAAAAAGAAAATGAGAGCATAAGAGTTCACAGTATTATGTGACAGCTATACAGAGTAGATGGGATTAGAAAGGACATACAGAGTATGTAGAGTAACAAGCGAAGAGAACCAGCAATAGGATTAAATTAGGTATTCATGACTAATGCCCTTCCCCATAGTTTGTGCAGTTTGGTTAAATGAAAGAAAATGCTACAATAGAAAGTGAAACAAAGCGGGTTAATAGCCTAAAATAAACTTTAGAACTTTGTCCACAACCTGTTTGAGGGAAGCCAAGTAACAATTGTTTACGAACCCCTTCATTCGGCACTCTGGTAGTTCAACCCTATCTCTCCACTATATGATTTCCCCTGTTTTATATCTTCATTCCAAAACTTCTATAGCACTCTGCTTGCTCCTTTATACTTGCCAATGATTTTTATGTGTCATAATTCATTGATAAAAAGCAAATCAGAAAAGAATCCCTTCACTCTCTTTCCCTCAAAATCTGTAACTGCTTTCATTTGTCTTCTAAATCTATTATTCTTATATACCTGCATTTACCTTACATGCCGTGTTAAGCCCGGGATTCTGGGTTCCCAAGCGGTGAGACGGACAGAAACATGAACTTGATAATGTAAAAGCAGTAGGAGTTTTATTCCAATATACTGGGGTCACCTATATCACCCACAGAGTGATCTCTTGATAGCGACCCTGACTTCAGACAGCAAGCATTTTATATAGGGTTTGATTACATAAGCAATTACATGCCTTACTGTGTCTCAGAAAGAAATCTTACTTAACTACCAAACAAGGTATTTTGGCAAGTGTCTAGGGTAACAGTAGCCAGGCAATAGTTAAACAATAGTTTTCACTAGCAGTTATGGTTATATATGCTACTCGTTCTTTTTAGGGTTAACTCAAGGCAATTTCTGGGGCATTGTGAGAATTGATTGATTGAGCCCACTTGCTGAGTCCAGGAACTTTTCCAGGTGGGTTCAGGTTGGCTAGATACACATTGTTTCATTGCTGGGAAACCAAGATTGTTTTAGTTCTGATAACTGGACCTAAGGCCTAGCTGATTTCTGTCACCTGTCATGGTGTCCGTTTTGCCTTTACAGCTGTAACTACAGAGAAACCTCCCACTAAAGGCCAACCCCTCTTCTTATGCTCTTCCCTTTCTTATTTTACCCATACAAATGCTCCCCCCACCTCTTCCACATCATCAACTTCTCTTTAAGAGAGTATATCTTAGGATCTTTCATTCTTAAAGTATCTTCCATCGACCCCTTAGTCCCATCCTGCTCTCTGCACCCAGTTGCCTATCATTGTCTCCATTTCCTCATATTTGTTCCTCAGGCATTCCATATGTTCTTTCCACCCCCCTTCTTTAGAGACTACTATGCCAACCTTTTCATTAGTCTCTATACTGATTAATCTCATAACCTGTGGCTTCTGTGTTACTATGCTCTGAATTGCCTCCACGGTTTCCTTTCCTCCTCTATTTGACCTCCAAATAATGAGCAGTTGCATAGCTTTGTCTTTATCCCTTTCTCTTTAACTACATTTTTTTCAGGGCATCCCTTCCCTTCCAAGAAATTGAACTTATCCAAATGTCTACTTAACATCTCGTGCACCTCTAAAAGTCATATTCAACTTAACCAAACAATTCCCTCTCAGTCTGCTAGTTCCATTTTTATAGTTTATAAGTAGAACCACCATGCACAATTTCCCAAGTTTAAAAAAACACCAAACTAAAAAAAAAAATAAAGTACACTCTAGTGTTCTCTCCTTAAATTTAGCATCTAAACCACTAGCAAGTCCTATAGGTCTTACCTCCAAATTACTCAAAATTCATTTAATTTTCTGTTTTTCTTTACTCCTTATCCCAAGCTACCGTTTGTTATGCACTTGTGGATGTATCAGCTCTGCCCTTCTTTTTCACATGATGCTTGTTCCTTATTATTTGTTAGACTGGATTTTTGCCATTTGGATATTAGCTTCAAGCTAATATCTGAGGTAGAGTAATAGTACAGTGGGTAAGGTGTTTGCTTTGCACCCAGCAGAACTCTTTTTGGTCCCCAGCTTCCTGTGTGGTTCACCCCACCAAGATCCATGAGAGTGCAGAGCTAAGAGTAATCCCAGGGCACTGCAGGGTATGGCCTCAAAACAAAATAAAAATCAACAACTGTAGGATAACATTGGTTTGTCCTTTCTCCCTTGCCATAGGGATCTTAGGTTTATTGGGTTACACCCATCACAGTGTTCCTGAGTCACTCCTATTCCTTTATCTGTAACCCTTTTGTGCTCCGCTTTCCCAACTGGTCTATCACCTTTTTCCTCTAATCAGACTCTGTTAACCTGTAAGGCCAGATCCTTCTAAGGACACTTGACTTGTATTCATGAGTGAAATATTGCCTTTCACCTCTCCTTATGTCTTTTGCATGGTTCACTTTAAAGCAATATTCAAATAAATAAATAAATAAATAAAGCAATGTCCTTTTTTGTATAGACACAGGTAGACAGCTAATATTATGCTTTTGTAACTTGGGAGTTAATTTACTTCAAATAATATTCACTCCTAGAATCTGCTTTCTCGACTTGAGCCTCAGTTGCCCTTAGATCCTAGCACTCCAAAAGCAGGGTACTGATGAGAGACTGGATGGACATATGGCAAGCTGTGAGCTACCCTGGCATCAAAATAGGTCAGGCCAAAGTGTCACAATACTTAACTATATGTTAAGAGCATGGTCATGGACAAATTCTGTCATGATCCAAAAAGTAATGACCTGAATGAGTACCCTGCTAGGATTAGGAAAGACTAATCTGGCCTGAGCACTATAGTCTGAGATCTATAGCAAGATGCCCCCAGGAGAGCCACCTATAAGCTTAATGTATCTCTTACTATGTCCATAGAAAACTGACTAATATGATGAATGTTTATATATTTATCATATTCATAAGTAAAGGAGAAACACACCCATAGATGGAATTTCACTCTTAGATGGGTTATCTTACTAGATGAGAATCTGTCCTAGAAGAAGCTTCCCCTGAGAGAAGGATTTCACCTCTGTTGATTGTATGACCAAACGTGTAATTATTATCCCAACCCCTCATGATTTGGGATTTAACTAAGGCTGGAAGAGTGGGCTGAGGGATGCAGAAGCAAGAAGGAGAAGTATAAAGGAGGAGGATGAAGGGGAAGAGGAAAGGGGGAGGAAGATAATGGAGATGGGAATGAAATAAACTGCCACTGACACCAACCAGCCTGACTCTCCTTTCCTCCTTCCACCGCCTATAGCCATCAGCTGCCCTAGCCTCCGGGGAAGGCCTCTTCGGGTGGGACGGGCACTCCCGTGGCATGCTGGGAATTGTAGTCAACGACTGGAAATACATGGAGATGAAAGGTTTTGAGACTCCTGCTCAGGAAACCGTGAACTAGGACTTGCTGCGTTGCATGCTGGGAAGTGTAGTCTTTCACACACGCACACCCGCGTACACACATGCGCACACACGTATGCACGCACTCCCCCCTACACACGCACACACCCCTCTCACACACACGCTCACACGCACCCCCCCACACGCACGCACATACACACACACCCCACACACACGCACGCGCGCATACACGCGCACACACTGCGCCACCGTACGTCAGGGGTGCGGCAGCCGGGAGCCAGCGCGCAGGCGGGCTGAGCCCCGGCTGCCGGCTCCGCCCCCAGGGCGCCTGGCCCCGCCCCCTCCCAGGCCCCGCCTTCCCCCACGTGTCTGCCGCCTAGGGGAGGCGCCTGAGCCGGAGCGGGCTGGCTACCGGACCCCGTCGGCTCCCTGGGTCCTGTCGGCGGCCCCCGGAGCGGCGCGGCTCCCCGATGCTCCCGCCCCGGCCGCCGCGGGCCGGGCTGTGCATTTAGTGCCCCGCTCTGGCCCTTTAAAGTGCCGGCGGGGGAGGGAGCGGCCTCGGCCCCGCGGAGACGGAGCGGCTGGAGGACGAGGCGGCGGCCGCGGGGAGGAGGATGGGGGCTAACCAGTTGGTGGTGCTCAACGTGTACGACATGGTGAGTGCGGCCCCTGGCGGCCCCGGGCCGGCTCGAGCCCCCGGCCCCACGCGCTTCCTGCCTCGGGTCTCCGCCTCCAGCCTAGTTCTCTGGGCGTTGCGGGGGAAGGAGAGGAGGTCTCGTCATTATTAATTTTTAAAATCCTGTTGGCGTGAGAGCTTTGGCCGAGGCTCGGGTTGGAGGAACCTCTCCTTGAGCCCCTGGGGGGAAGGCCTCAGCTTCGTCCGAATCCTGGCTGTGGGCCCGACCCCCGGAACGATGAACCGTGTCCTTTCCGCCGAGCTGCCGTCGTGGCTCAGACGCCTCCTGCCACGACCCGGCTGCCCCACTTTACTCGGGCCGATCTCCGCCTGTCGGTTCCCGTGGCTCGGCCAAGTCTGCAAAAACTCCCGAGTCCCCCCCGCCCCCCTCCACCCCACCCCCGGCCACCTCCCCGATGCCCCCCTCCATCCTCCCGTAAGTCCAGAAAGTCTCAGCCCTCACGCCTAGGCGAGAATCTCCTCAAAGGTGAACTGGGTGAACTGGAGCCAGCACACCCTTGCCTCTAAGTCAACGTCGTTAAAATGAATGAGGCAAAAAATTGTCCGGAAAAGAGCTCCGCTGAATTATTTAGACATCATGGGCGTGCACCTTCCCTAGATTCTGAGACCACTTTGCAAGTGGTGCAACAGGTCTCTGACATGCCCAGAGGAGAGGGGATGGAAGAACTTGTTTGTTCTCTCTTAATAACTTTGGAATAGTGCAAGCGCAACCGCCGAGTCCAAGGGTTGGTTTTTGCCTTGGAAATTGCCACTGAACTGCCCTGGCCGGGAACATGTTTGAGGTTGTTTCTGCCTTGTAAGAGGGTCACCTCTGCCCATAATGTTTAAAATTTCTCTGAGTGGAATTGACAAGTGAACAGGCTCGGGTCTTGAATTTGTAATGATGCCAAAGAGTAAAGTTAATAGCGATCAGAAGTCTTGGTCCTTATTCGTCCAAGTTTTTTGGTTCCCTTGTTTATATGTGACTGAATGTACAGTGTAAATTCTTGGGTAGGAAGGAGATGCCATCATGGGGGGATTTTGTCAGCACGTTGTCGAGACTGCCTGAGAGTTACTTGGGTGGAATGGAGTTCTGATGGGGAGGCGGAAGAGATAGGTCTGAAAATCGAGAAAAGTGAAATGGGAGAGAAAAAGTTACTCTGAAAATCAGCTGGACTGGTGCAGAGGGAGGTTCTCAAGCGTTCTTCCTTATTTGAACCTCTTGGTGAGTTTCTAATATCTATTAATGTCTTTCTTATATTCCACAATCATGATCGTGACATCCTTTCTGGGGTGGAACCCAAGTTTCCATATTTACTGTTTGTTTAGGTGATTCCCATGCACGGTGTGCTTTGAGAATTGATGTAGAGGCCCTGGTATTAAAATAGCACTTTTTGAGGTCTTTGGCCTATGTCACTGGTTAAGAAATATTTCGCTAGATTTAATTTTTGTATAGGTTCAACTGAGTACTTACATATTTTGAAACGTTATTGCACTTGTGCTGTTTCTGGACACAGTATCCCATAAGAATTTGACTTCTTATTCATGAGGTATCTTGCAAAGCATTCTCAGGATATATTTTTACTCATATGTCTTTTCTTTAAACCCTTTTATAAATTAGAGTTATGCAGTGGCTGAAGAGCTGTAGTTTCATAGCCTGAAATTTATCTATGGAAAAGGAAGAAGAGTTTTATACTTTTAAAATAAAACAGAAAATACATTCTTTGACATGTGAGTTCATTAAACTATTATGTGAATAATGAAAATCATCCGCGTGCCAAATGTGGAGAAAACTAACAATGATATTCATACCAGTGCATTTTAAAGCAAAGAATATTTTGAAGGATGTTAAAAAATGCTAGCTAATTGACAAAGATCTTATTCCTCTTATCTTATTTGTTAAGAGGGTAGGTATAGAAAATAGAGAAAATAATTCAACCTGCCCAGATAACTGAAAATAACATTTCTTTGCAATGGTGTGACTGTTATCTTCTCTACCCAATAATCCTCCATGTTTATTTCTTAGGCATCACTTTTTCTTAAAAGAAGGAGCATATGGATGTTTGTCATAATGGTAAATACTTGGATTATTAGTTTTCTATTAAACTTAATGCTGATATCTTCTTTTGAGAGTTCCTGTCTGGGACTTCAAAGCATACTAATTTAGCACCCTACAGTTACTTATTTTTACTCAGTAGATGTCACAGAAACGAACAGGGAGGGTACGAAAGTAGTAATAATTCAAAACTAGAGTTTGATTTTATATAGCCAGGAAACAACTGTGTGCAGTTATAGCGTTAGGCTTCTACACCTGTTGAGAAAAGGACTGAGGAGCGTGGTCCAAAGGAGTGATATCAGACTTTTCTTGTTGGTCGATTTCTGCTGGATTGAGATACTGATTTGTGCCTTTCACACTCATTTTTCTCTAGTCATTTTTGGGGTTTTGAAACATTTTTTGCTTAATGTCAAGGGTAAATTCCTTTTGTTAAAAATAAAATCTTCAATGATACTTTCTGTTCTTCATCAATTCCTTTGAAGAGGATTGTACAGAACTAGTACATCAGCTCTTGTCCAAACTTTGTGAACACGAAACTCAGCCTTGATATTTGCTTAATCTCTGTTTATGACTTCTTGCTGTACATCTATGTCACCTGCTCTCGTGCTGATTGTATTTTTCTTATCCAGGTGGCTGCTGATCATTTCTTTGGCCATAGGAACCATCTGTGGGGAAATAATTGAATCAGTGTCACTTAAATTACTTCCTTATGATGGAGGAATAGTATAATCCTCAAAAAAGTTGTGTTATATTACATAGGGCTGCTAAATTATTGCTCACCTTCTCAGTCATTACATTTGTCTGTATCCTTTAAGATAACCTACCACCATTAAGCAGCTCCTAGAATTATTTGCTGCGTTTTCTTATCATGTGATTCTAATTTGCAGAAATGACATGGTAAAGCAGGTGATTCAGGAGTCCTTTCAGTTGCTGGGCCAATCTCTGGTGTCACTTCAGCAAAAAGTGTTTCTCATTCAGTTACATTTTCAGATTGTCTTGGTTACTAATTTCTTTAGTGTAAAGATACGTGTTCACAACGTGTATAGATTTGTTCTGTAATCAGTTTTTATTTTGTTTGGGGGACAGCTGTTAGTGCAGGTTCTCTCCTGCCCCTGCCCTCAGGGATCACTCCTGGTGGTCTTGGAGGTCCAGATGGGATACCAGGTATCAAACTTCGGTTGCCCAGCAACACAAACTCTGTACCTTCGGTACTATCACCCCAGCCCTTCAATGTTTTGTTTTGTTTTTTGTAAATAAGATACTTTATTTAAACATCATGGCTTAAAACTTGTTATTAAATATAGTTATTAGCAGACTTTCAGTGTTCAAATACCAACCCTATCACCGAAGTGACCTTCCCTCCAACATTGTCTCATTTACCAAAACAACTCTCCAAGCCGCACCCCTTAGCAGTAACACAATAATTAATTTTATATTGCTTGTTGCAACTAAATAGCTAAAGGAAATTAAAAATACTTAAATAAAAGAAAATTAGTAAAAAATGTTACATCTCACCACCGGCTTGTTAATTCCTTGCCTAAGGATTTATTAAGCAGTTTGTTGATAACTGAGCCTTCAGTGTTACTGTTCTTATTTGTTCAGTTTAGTTGGAGTCCATGCTACTTTCCCCTGTAATTTGGTGTGCTTCTACTGGAATCTCAGTATTAACGAATCTGGAGGTGTTATGCACAGAGTCCAGACACTTTCGAATATATGATCTGGGCCAGTGAGTTGAGAACACCCCAAAGTTTGCAGTCTGGACACCAGGAGCACCTGAAATATTTTGCAGTTTGGTATCTCTGCAGAGAGTTTTAGTGAAGCGGTAGAGTTGAGCTGTTGGTGTGGTTGCAGTGGTGGGTTGTGGGTACAGCTGCCGAGGCTTCTGCAGGCTGGGGATTTGGCCCACTACTCTCCCTAGCAGTTTCTCAATTTTTAAATAGTATCAGTATATCTTTAGGGTCTTCAGGGGCGGGGGGGTGGAGGAAGTTTCTAGGACTCTTGAAAATAAATCTTTTTAGTGCTTGGGAAACTCTTTGTGGTGCCTGGGATTCAACCAGGGCCAGATGTGTACACGGCAAACCCCTTTCCTTTTCTAATATCTATATCTCTACCCCCACATAAAAAAGTTTTAATTCAGATTCCATTCTTTCAGCCTTCCTTTATATCTCCATTAGATTCCTCCAGGCTGGAGCAATAGCACAACGGGTATGGTGTTTGCCTTGCACATAGCCCACCCAGGTTCGATTCCTCTGTCCCTCTCAGAGAGCCTGGCAAGCTATCGAGAATATCTCGCCCACATGGCGGGAATTCGATATGCCAAAAGCAGAAACAAGAAGTCTCACAGTGGAGAAGTTACTGGTGTCCACTCAAGCAAATCCTTGAACAGTGAGAGGACAGTGCTACAGTGCTACAGATTTCCTGCAAGAGTGAGATCATGGATGGGATTTGATCTAATTTTGCATACATCTTTCGATCTGATGCAGACCTTTCAAAACAGGTTTATACTCGAAAACTAAATGATTCTATAACCGCTGTAAATTAGTTATGTCCAGGAACCGACTTTCCCTTCTCCTTCCGACAGTAGATCTATTTTACTCTACCTGACATTTTCCTCTCCCCAGAATAAATCTTGGGTTTTTTTGTTTTTTTTTTTTCCCTTTTTGGGTCACACCTGGCGATGCACAAGGGTTACTCCTGGCTCTGCACTCAGGAGTTACTCCTGGTGGTGCTCAGGGGACCATATGGGATGCTGGGAATTGAACTCAGGTCGGCCACGTGCAAGGCAAACGCCCTACCCACTGTGCTATCTCTCCAGCCCCGTAATTAGCAGTTTTTTGAATTCAGCTCTCCAAGCCAGAACCTTGGGCAGAAAATTAAATTTCTCCTTATTATGATCCTTTCACAGTCAAATCACCAGGCCTTGT